CATGAGCTTGTGAACGGTTTTTGTAGGTGATGTGCTGCCTGCCCCCTCCGCACTTGCCAAAGGTCTGAATAACATTAAGTTCACTAATCACACATGGGGAAAGCACAAAGTAACACCTTTACACTTTGAAAATAAAGCTCATCATTTCTGGGAGTCTGTGCTTGGTGTGGGGTTGGGGGGGTAATTAGCTGATGCCAGTGGGCTTCCTACACCAAACTACTGAGCGTAAAATGAAAATTTACATAAAAATGTATGTTTCTTTACACTAACACAGAATGTCCTCTTGAGGAGTGACAGAAATAGGAAAAAAAAGAAAAGATTTTTCCTTTGGTAAATTTAACCACTTCTGGACAGAGTGCTTGGCTGCAGTTTTGTAGTTTGCTTTTAAAAAATTCAAATTTATCTGAAGTTGCAGTCTTATATTTGACATTTTGTCCATCATTTCCATAAGTTAAATAACTCTGTACACACTAAAGTAATGTCTGACCTCTGGAAAAACTGCTAAAGATTATATTCTTGTACTTTCTCATTATGCTTGTACTGTATTTGTTCAGAAAATATTTCAGATATTATGCAAAAGTAAAAGGAATTCCACCACACACAAGGGGCATCTAGATCATCAGGAAGTCATGAACTATTAATAAATAGAGATGAAGTAGACATCTCCTGTGTGTGCTGGAATTCCTTTTATTTTGTGGATTATCGTCTTGCTCCGACTTGGCAGCTTGTTGGATGTATAAGCATGCAGGCGGGCACAACATTACTATTTACAGATTTAGCAGAGCTTATACAAATTATGCTATAATATCAAAGAAGTGGACATGCATTTGTGAAAACATTAAGGATTTAAACAGGGATACTAATGCATTTAATTGTTTAGTCATATTTACCAGTTGGGTCTTTAAATTGCTCACAGAACTCTCTGCTTGGTGACAGACTGTCTTTGGACATTGGCATGTAGCCAATGAGAAAGCAGCTGATCATTGTTTCAACTGTCTATATACGTACAGCATACAGTCTAGTCAATGAACATGGGACTGTGCACTTATCTCAGAAGACTGAATCCACAATCATAACTCGGGTGGGGGTCCAAGAAATGAAACGTCTCAATAACACTTGCCAGCAGGGTACACACTCCTAGCTGTATATGCCAGACTGTCTAGTGAAGAGGAGCCTGTGATTGTCTCAGGGCAGGGATGATGGTGGCCTGGCTGCCCTCACACCCAGCCTCCCCACTGTCACGGACCACTTAATGGCGTCACACTCTCCCCAACCTCCCAGGTTACCCTGACCAGAGTGTGTCATTAGATCACTCCTTCAAGACAAAGACACTGGCCCTAGTTTAACAGCGTGAAGATACTATCAGATTTTAGGGCCACCCACCCTTTAATAATAATTTAAAAAACTAGAAGGTGGTGGTTGGGTCCAACAAACACTTGACTTCCATGCAGACAACCAGAGAATGTGTCTCATGTCCAACATTGTACTTCTCACTTAAGAGTTTATATTTGTTTGTGATTTTGTTTTGCGGACCAACATAGCTATTTTATATATATACACACACACACACAGTGCCTTGCGAAAGTATTCGGCCCCCTTGAACTTTGCGACCTTTTGCCACATTTCAGGCTTCAAACATAAAGATATAAAACTGTAATTTTTTGTGAAGAATCAACAACAAGTGGGACACAATCATGAAGTGGAACGAAATTTATTGGATATTTCAAACGTTTTTAACAAATAAAAAACTGAAAAATTGGGCGTGAAAAATTATTCAGCCCCTTTACTTTCAGTGCAGCAAACTCTCTCCAGAAGTGCAGTGAGGATCTCTGAATGATCCAATGTTGACCTAAATAACTAATGATGATAAATAGAATCCACCTGTGTGTAATCAAGTCTCCATATAAATGCACCTGCACTGTGATAGTCTCAGAGGTCCGTTTAAAGCACAGAGAGCATCATGAAGAACAAGGAACACACCAGGCAGGTCCGAGATACTGTTGTGGAGAAGTTTAAAGCCGGATTTGGATACAAAAAGATTTCCCAAGCTTTAAACATCCCAAGGAGCACTGTGCAAGCAATAATATTGAAATGGAAGGAGTATCAGACCACTGCAAATCTACCAAGACCTGACCGTCCCTCTAAACTTTCAGCTCATACAAGGAGAAGACTGATCAGAGAGGCAGCCAAGAGGCCCATGATCACTCGGGATTAACTGCAGAGATCTACAGCTGAGGTGGGAGACTCTGTCCATAGGACAACAATCAGTCGTATACTGCACAAAGCTGGCCTTTATGGAAGAGTGGCAAGAAGAAAGCCATTTCTTAAAGATATCCATAAAAAGTGTCGTTTAAAGTTTGCCACAAGCCACCTGGGAGACACACCAAACATGTGGAAGAAGGTGCTCTGGTCAGATGAAACCAAAATCGAACTTTTTGGCAACAATGCAAAACGTTATGTTTGGCGTAAAAGCAACACAGCTCATCACCCTGAACACACCATCCCCACTGTCAAACATGGTGGTGGCAGCATCATGGTTTGGGCCTGCTTTTCTTCAGCAGGGACAGGGAAGATGGTTAAAATTGATGGGAAGATGGATGGAGCCAAATACAGGACCATTCTGGAAGGAAACCTGATGGAGTCTGCAAAAGACCTGAGACTGGGACGGAGATTTGTCTTCCAACAAGACAATGATCCAAAACATAAAGCAAAATCTACAATGGAATGGTTCACAAATAAACATATCCAGGTGTTAGAATGGCCAAGTCAAAGTCCATGACTGCTGTAGCTTATACATTTTGTAACAAAGCTCTAGTTAATTATTATTAACAATAAGCTAATCCATGTCAATATTACACAATGTTTGTTTTTTTTCCACCTTTACAAAAAAAATGTCAACCATTTATCCATGTTCTTTATGCAGGTTAAATCAAATGAATGATCGGATGATACATGGACAGTTTACATGATCAATTTATACTTTAAATTCCTCAAAAAATACTTTTACTTTTGTTGCATATTTTCAACATAACTCAAATGAACTGCAGTCTGCTTTCATGTAGATGTCTGCAGCAAGAGCCAGAGAGATGCTGTTTGACAGACTGACAAAGGGCTTGTATTAAACTCAACATACACACACAGACTGTGGCAAGATGATAGATTACCAAATGTCTGTTTGTGCTTGTTTAAAAATGTTGCTGCACTTAAGACTGCTAAAAAAAAATAAAAACACTGTAGAAGCGATCACACCACAGCAATCCACTAAAAATGATGAATCTACAGTGAATGGCAGCAGAACTAAAGCAGTGCACACGGTCGGTCTCCACTGTACAGCAGTCTCAGGTTTGTTTCTGTCTGCAAGCCTATTTACAGTGACAGGAGGAAACGGATGACGCAGGAAGGTCCATCTCCAAGCACACAAGATGAAGCTCAGTGTAGCAGGCAGCGGTCGGCTGTTGCCCCCTCTCCCTCTCAATTTTACAGTTCATCACTTTAATCAGGAGTCTGGCGGGTCCTCCCCCAGCTCGGCTGAGTCTTACAGATGGCCTCTTTAACTGGCAGTGAAAAAGAGGAGCTCAGCCTCGGTCCAAAGACACAGCCAGTTGGGACTGTGTGGATCTCGGCCTCACCTGATAAGCACATTATAGTACTACACTCAAGTTTTTGCTAAGGCCACAAAGTAAATCAGGGTGGAGTTTTCTAGAAAACCAGTGTCCAGCAGCAACTGACAAGTAAAATATCTATGAGCCTTAATTCTCCAACTTACTAAGAAGAACATTACTGTAAATCTCCTCCAGCAGATTTGTACTATTTGCTTTTGTGTGCAGTGCTTAAATTTGTATGGAGTGCTGCAGTAATTGGTTGCTGAATAAGGTGGAGTGATATGACATGATGATAATGCTAAACATGCATTAAATACGCACATTGTGACTTTAAATTATCTACAGTACATTATTTTACACTATACTGTTGCATGGAGTGTGATGTGATGTCCTGCCATGGACACCATGATTTGCATATGGTAGACTCTTGAACACATGTTAGTCAGATCCAATGATTCCTCTAAGCCTGTAGCTGTTGTATGGGCTTTTTTTGACCTCATTAATTATTGTGTGTTGTGCCTTTGGAGCCCTCTTGCACCCACTTCAAGGGAGGGGCCACAAAACTAAACTCTTATTTATAGACGGTCTGTCCAACTGCAGACTCATGGATATCTAAACTCTTTGAGATTACTTTCTGTTTTGATGCAAATCAGCAGTTCTTGACTTAATGTGCTCTGAGATTGGTTTTTGTAAGGCATGGCTCACATCAGCAGATGCTTCTTGTGAGTAACAAACTCAGAAGTACTTCTAACCCACAGCTCCAATCGTGTTTCAGAGATTGATCTCCAGGTTAGTTTAGGGCTTCACATAATTTTTCCAACCTACACTGTGACTATTTGAATGATGTATTCAGTATGGACAAACAATACAGTGACCTGTCTTAAAATAACTATAGGTTGTGTTGCAACTTGGATGATATATTTTTCTGGCCACTTTAAAAATAAACAAATGAAATGGAGAGCAAAACCAGAGAGACGTGGAAGAAAACGGAAGACAACCATCAAAATGGATCGAAGAATAACCAGAATGGCAAAGGCCCAGCCAATGATCAGCTCCAGGATGATCAAAGACAGTCTGGAGTTACCTGTAAGTACTGTGACAGTTAGAAGACGTCTGTGTGAAGCTAATCTATTTTCAAGAATCCCCCGCAAAGTCCCTCTGTTAAAAAAAAGGCACGTGCAGAAGAGGTTACAATTTGCCAAAGAACACATCAACTGGCCTAAAGAGAAATGGAGGAACATTTTGTGGACTGATGAGAGTAAAATTGTTCTTTTTGGGTCCAAGGGCCACAGACAGTTTGTGAGATGACCCCCAAACTCT